CCTTCACAGTGACTTTGAGGCCATCTATCCTGGCATCAACTGGGAGAGTGTTCACAATGACAAAGTCACAGATCTTTGTAATATGGAAATGTTTACCGAGGAAACTCTGAAAAAAATATAACATAACAAGCAGGTCATGACTTGCCCATGCTGAATGTATAAATGATCTCATCAAGTGAATAGCAGCCATGACTTACACTACAAGAGACATCCCTAGAAAAGAACACAGAGAAACTGGTATGGAAGCCCTCAGAGTGACTCCTCCCAAAGCCTGGGAAGGGGATCTCACCAGAGCCCTCAGAGTTCTCACTGTTCTGCCCCTTGGAATCCCCTATGTCCTTTTTACCCCTTCCCCTAATCCTAAGAACTATGTGCACATTTTTAACAGCTGGAACTGTAGAGTGGGCAATACCTCTTGTGGCAGCATATGGAACCATTGGGACTGTTGCCAACGTTGCCCAATGTTAGTGGGAGGGAGGTAGAGAAACTGAGACTTAAAGAGGGTAGATGACTTGCTCAAGATGACATAGCTAGAAAGTAGATTGTAGCAAGGCTAGGATGAGAACCCAACTCTTCTGACTCTCAAATCCAGTGTTATTTTCCCAGTTTATGTAGTAGCATTTATAAGATCTATTCCAACTCTCACATTCAGATTCATCATCAATTACTAAAAGATGAAACATTATGTTAAAATAGGAATAATGTAATATTTAACGTAAGAATTTATTAATAATTATCCATGAATCATGGTAATTATGAATACTCGCTATTATTTCCATAACGCTTCAAGGTTTGTAATGCACTTTCTATAGTTTGCCTCATTTGGTTCTCACAGTGTTGTTCTTCATCCTTTGTTCTCGAAGAGGATGACATCACAATTTTGGGAGCATTGCAGTGTGTTCAGCTGGCTGATGAGTCCAGTACAAGCTCAAAAGGCTCTCCCACAGGTTGGGTACACATAGTTCATTACAACATCTGGGATAGAGAGTTCTCTGAATTTGTGCAGCCCATGTTTCCTTTGTGCTCCTTCGATTCTGCTTTGCTCATAAAGGACAGCACCTTTGATGAGGCTCACTATACTGGGCAATTCTGGGCCAGTGTCTTCCACGTCTCACAACTGATACCAAAGTTCTTCAGAAAGACTTTGAGAGTGTCCTTGTATCACTTCTTCTGCCCATCATGTGAGCACTTGGTTTTGTGCGAGTTCTCCACAAAATAGTCTTTTAGGCAAACATATATTTGGCATTTGAACAACATGATCAGCCTGTCAGAGTTATGTTCTCTACAGTAGGGTTTGAATGCTTGGCAGTCCAGCTTGAGTCCAGTAACTTATCTTGCCAAGTAAACTTCACAATCTTCCCAAGACAATTCAAATGAAGTGATTGATTTTCTTGGATGGCACTGGTATATTGTCTAGGTTCCACAAGTATACAACAATGAGGTCAGCACAATGGCTTTGTAGACCTTCAGTTTGCTAGGCAGCCTAATATTTCTTCTCTCCTACACTTTCTTTCAGAGCCTCCTAAACACTGAGATAGTTCGGGCAATGTGTGCATCAACTTCAACATCTATGTGGACATCCCTGTAAAGTATACTGCCAAGATAAGTGAACTTATCCACAGCATTCAAAATTTCTCCATTTGTTGTAACCAATGGTTCCACATATGGATGATGAGGTGCTGGCTGGTGGACAGCATCTGCTTCCTTGGTGTTGTCAGGCCAAAATTTGCACAAGCAACAGAAAATCAATCCATACTCTGTTGCATCTCAGCCTCAGAGGATGCATTGAATGCACAATCATCTGTGAGCAAAAGTCTCACACCAACTCTCCCTCCATTTTAGTCTTTGCTTATAGCCTTTTCAAGCTAGTTTGCCATCAGTGTGGTAGCTGACCTTGGTGCTATTTTCATCCTTGTTGAAGGTGTCTGACAACATCACAGAAAACACCATGCTAAAAAACAGGGGAGCAAGCACACAGCCCTGCTTTACTCTATTAGTGGCTGGGAAAGCATGATAGCATTGTCCTTTATCCAGGATCTGTGCAAGCATGTCATCCAAGAACTTTTCTGGGCAACTGAATTTTGCCATGATCTTCCTCAAGCCCTCACAACTGATAGTATCAAAGGCCTTAGTCAGATGGATGAACATTGTATACAGACTTCTCTTTTGCTCCTGGCATTTCTCCTAGAGTTGTCAGGCAGGAAACACCATGCTGACTATTCCTCAGCCCTTTCTCTCAGTAATCCTGGGAGGTAGGTGCTTTATTAATCCCCATTTTATGGAGAAGGAGGCCAAGAGGGGTTAAGTGACTTGCTTGTCCAGGGTCACACAGCTAGTAAGTGCCTGAGGCAGAGTTAAAACTCAGATTTTTCTGACTGGCGTGGGAAGGGACAGTGGAATTGAGTTAACCAGGAAGAAAGTTAAAGCCAAAGACATTGGATGAGAAATACTCATGGGGGTGATTTTTGCAAACAAAAAACTGCCTGGCTTAAAGTGGAAGTTAGTGGTACCAAAATGTTTAAAAATGGATTTCTCCCTCATTTAACTCTGCTCCACTACTTCAAAAACAATTTCCTTGCAGTAAGAGATTGTTTTTCTAAAAAATGTGGCATCACTACAGTAACAACAGGACCTACATTCACTGCTACCAAATCTTACACAATAAATGGGGCTTTATAAAAATGTGTTGACTCCATTCTACCTGAAAATCTAACCCCAAAAGTCACCACCACAGTGGGTCTTCTACTAAAGAACTGGGGAAAAAAACACCCACCTTTTCCTTATGAGTATCTGACTATGAAGAACACAAGCCTGTTAATATTGAACTGAACTATATTCTTTGCTAGGCAATGAAAGAATCATCTGCCTCTTCCAGAAACAATAAGTTATTGTCACGTACAGGGCTTGGAATATAGGAACTATTTAGTAAATGCTCTAAAATACTCTTGGTTAATACCCTGGTAATGAAGTATGTGCACAGAAGTAGAGCTATATTGGCTAAAGAACCATCTGCTTGTTGTTTGTGACTGGTTGGCTTAGATGGTAGAGTGTAAAGTTAACAAGGATTAGGTTAGTTCAGTATGGAACAGTTATTTATATAGATTCCATGACTGCAAAACACTCTCATATGGGAAATTCACAAGGGACTTTGGCTGAGAAATTTGTCAGTTGCAACTTCACCAATACAAGGAGAGCTCAGTCCACATGCCCTTCTCACAGTGGGGCAGAAGGTCTGTCAGTATTCCAAAGAACAGTTCAGAGTCAACGATATTCTCCTTAATCTAAAGTTTCTTTTCCTAGAGTTTAATGATTTGTAACAAAACCAAGTTGGCCTTACATTGCCCGAGAAGTGCAAGAATGGCTAAAACTTGTTTGTATTTCCACTTTAGGGCAGGCAAGCACAGACATCCTAAACTCTTCCACATTTTAAAGAATAAAGATGGAAAATTAGAAAGGACTAGAGTTAGTGACAAGATTAGACTAGATAAAGGATGAACCCAAGGGAGGAGATAAAAGGAGAATTTATTTAAAAACACACGGCTTGAAGTAGGTAAGCAGAAGAATGTTTGATGTCTTTGAATTGGTCTTAATGCACTTTGTCCTAGTATGGTTAATATCATGTCATATCTTATTCCCCTTCATCATCTTGCATTAAAGCCACAATTGGCCTTCCACAACCATGCTGTGAAGAAAACAGAATGTGAACATAGTGGTTTCAACAAAGTTGAAATGCACCTACTAAGAAGGCCTACAATGATTTACTTTCCTGGTAATTGGCCAGATAACCTGAAAATCATGCAATATCTAAAGTGTGAGAGTGTAAAAAGAACAAGGTCTCCAATGGCAACTGCTGGGAAAGTTTATATTGGCAGAATTCCCGAGTAGAGATTTTTACCAGACTTGGAGTTTTGACAGGGCAGCTTTTATGAAAAAATGTCCTCGGCTACTTATGAATAACTTCATTACTTCAGGAAAGCTTCATGCAGAATATGACACCTTTATAACCTCCCTGAAAACTCTGCTGGCAAAGTAAGGTAGCCCTGACAAGGAGAGAAACTTGTCACCTGCTGAGTCACCAGCGTCTTTAGATAGTTATTGCCAGCAGCAGCAATATGCTCCCTTGGTCTCTTGACCAAGGACTCACTCTACCTCAGAGCTTTGCAAAACAACACTCTCCTCTTGGCTACCTCTTATGCTCATGAACTGGGACCAAGGAAAGAAATAATGTGGCATTTGTTAAAGTTCCAAACTGTAGCACAGTCTCAAATGAGATGGAAACACTAATAAAATGAACAACACATTTTTCTTTGTGCAACCTGAGATGGCGACTGTATCCGTTTGACAGCTTTCCATTTTGTTTCTAGATTATAAGCTGATGCAGTTTTTCATTTCACATATAGTCCTATACCTTTAATAACTGACCATGTCTCTTCAAAATGAGTCAACCCTTTTTTTTTTTTAAATATTGGGTCTCTTTATCTTCCTCAGGCTAGAAATACAGGGGCCTTTATGGATCCAGTACCAATAGTGATCAGCATGAAAATTCTAACCTGTTTTTCTGTCCATAGGCAGACTGGTGGCTCTTTGCTCTCATGGCCTCACCATATTAGCAACTCACTTAGTATAGATACTTTGGCTTCAGCCCTAAGCCCTACCGTAGCTTCGAACTCCCAAACTGAAGCAATCCACCAGCCTCAGGCTCTCTAGCAGCAGAAATTACAGTAATGCACCATCATGCCTGGTGTCAACTCCTTAACAAACAGTTATCATGAAAGAGAGTAAAGAACAGTACAGAGCTGTCAAACTTTAACATCTTACATAGTTTAATCACTGAAATAATATGGGTATATTTAATTAGTTACAGAGTGGAAGAAAGTCAAGATACTCTAAACATGGTTAGAAGATGAGGGAAAAAAATCCAGCTTTCCTACTGGTTTTTTAAAATACATGAAGCAACAGCACAAAATAAAGCATGAAGGAAGAAAGTGAACATATCTTACCTTATTATCATCTTCAAGGTCAGTATAGCCACAGGCACTTATGATATCTGGAAACATCTCTGACCATCCCTCACTAGTACAGTTTTTGCTGATATTTCCTGTAAAACAAAATCCAGACCTTTGATCTATAGGTTTGTCAAAGTATACCCATTAGCAATACTTCAAGCAGCTGCAGACAAATGGTGGCTTTTTGGGTGAGCTTTGAAGGCTGTACAGAATGGGAACTCTTAAAAGACAGAACTTGCCCTGTCATAATCAGAAATACATTTATAGCTGACTTTTGATTATTCAGGAGCCAATTAAGAAGCTAGCCTATTATTTTGGTATCTGACTGCTACTTTTTCTCTCTCCTGCTGCCTGACTCCTAGGCATTATGCTTCTCATTAGAACCAGAAAGTGGGAAGGGCAAGCTAGAGGGGGGAGGAAGCATAGCAGGAGAGAGGATGTTCAGATTATTATCTTGCTCCAGTCCTCTGAATAATGCACTTAATTCTTCCCTGGGCATAATGAACATAAAGTAGCTATCCCAAAGTAGAATGGATTGCTTCAGAAGATATTGGGTTCTTTCCTTCTACAGGTTTCCAGGGAAAAGAGTAGATGGCAGTTTGTTGGGTATCTCATAGGATATCTTCTTATTCAAGGATAGACTGGGCTAGGTGGCCTCTGAGCCCCCTTCCAATTTCCAGAGACTATGAATGCCCTCTAAGTGAAGAGGCAGACAAGGCTAATGTGGTTATGGGATTCTTCACGCGTTCTCATTAGTTATATCTTTACTTCCTAATTTGACTCAGTGGAAGCTTGCTTCTCAGTTCCCACCACCTGTTCACAAGGAAAAAGTCTAGGCCCAGCCCATCCCTTCTTGGAAAACAAAGAGATGAGATATTGCTTCTGGGGCCTAGAGTCCATTGTACAGGTTCCCCAGAAAGCATACTATTACATGAATGAACAAGTGAAGGATTCCAGCACTGTGGGCATGAAAGTGTCTGATTTCCACTGTTTGGCAAACATTCCTCTGGAAGAATACATCATATCCCTCAACAATAATTTGCCCCTACACCCTCAGACATGGTGGAGGTATTGGTTGATTTAGCTTAACTCTTTCCTTTGTTACTGGGATGTGTGTGTGTGTGTGCATGTGTGTGTGTGTGTGTGTGTGTGTGTGTGTGTGTGACAGTCATATTAGAAAACACCTGTGGTGTAAAAACAAAAGGCAGCAACAAAACACCTTCCCTCTCTCACCTCACAGTTCATTAACAAAGCAGAGCACTAACCATAGCTAACTAACATAGCTAACTAACCATAGATGATGTCAATGCACAAGGCAGTCTGAGGAGTAGTTGTAACTAGGAATCCTAGTGCTTCAGTACAGACAAGAGGCAGTCTATTCAGATGCAATTGTTCCAGAAGAGTGGGCAGCCCCATGCACACCTGTTTCCAAATCATGAGTAGAGGTGGTGGAGAATAATGGGCCCCAGGAGAGTTAGCTTGGCAGTAGTACCCTGCAGAAGGAGGACCAGGATCTGCCCAGGTGGTAGACCACCACAAGGCATGATGACAGATGGCTGGAAGCGTACCTTGGAGAGGATGTAAGTACATGATATCCTCTCTCCCCAGATATGGACATGCTTGGAGGAAGCTCCAGTCACTCTGCCTAGTTACAGCTTCAGTCTGGAACTACCTATGCACACCCAGTAGAACCTATATATAGGTGTGGTTTATGCCCATAAGCTCAAACTAGCCAGGTGCATGTATTGCTCAGTGAGCCCCAGACTAAAAGATTTAGTGGCAAGACAACTGGTCTTAAAGTCAGAAAACCTCATTCAAGTCCAAACTCTTCCGTTTAATAGCTCTGGGAACCCCCTTAACTTCTTTGAGCCTTAGCTTTTCCATGTGTAAAATGGACAACACTTGGCTTGTCCGCCTTACCAGGTTGTTCTAAGGAAAGTGCTTTGTAAATTGTAAAGAACTGTACAAGTTACTGCTACTATTAAAGTCGTTTCTTCATTCCTACCCAGCTACACTCCTTGGGACTTCTCCATCATGCCCCCTGCGCTGGGTACCTTCAACTCTCTCCCTCGGCTTTTCATCTTTTTGTGTATTGTCTTCTCCTTTCTACTGTAAGGTCCTTAAGGACAGGGACTAGCTTTCTTTTTCACATTCTATCCCCAGCACTTAGCACAGTGCTTGGCACATAGTAGGTGCTTAAGAAATGTTTATTGATTATTAAAGGACCAAAAATCCCCTTAAAGTCCCCACAGAGCAAGGACTACCTAAAAAGAATATATTAAAATAAGCCTTTTTATTTCACATGTTGCCGCACCAAGGAATTCATTATTTAGTGGTTAGTTTGCTACTGATGCGTTTCTTCACACTTAGCTAGTCTAATCTTTAGAAAACTAACACAATCTGTCACTGGGTCCATCCAGCTTGTACATCTGGTCAGACCTTAAACTCTGTCATCACAGCCTTTGAAAACCAGTGTTAACCTGCATGCATGGAGGCATGGTGGGAGGACTGGGAAAAGAGCCTGTTGACTTTGTTTGCCTTCCTGGTTACAAAGCCTTTTGTGAAAGTATGACAGTAAATAAATTGGTTATCCTAGGGAATGTGGGATGGATTCCCCCCATCACTGCCCTGATTTAGAACTCTTAGGTTCATAGAATATTAGAGCTACTAAAGACTTTAGAGATCTTCATATCCAATCTCCTCTTTCTGTGAGGCAATTGAGGTTAAGTGACTTGCCCAGAGTCACACAGCTAGTGAGTGTTATGTGTATGTACTACACATTGCATTAATGGCTTGAATAACAGTCCTCACTGTTAGTCCACTGCCTTCTGCACTGCTCTGTGCCACCTCATGACAGGTTCCTTTGATTTTAGACTTTTCCCAATACATTTGTAGCTAGTGGAGTAAGCATGAGACTTTCAGAAGAAAATGAATGGGTCTGGTAGTTAAAGATTTTGTTATTATTGTTCAGTCTTTCAATTGTGTCTGATTCTTTGTGACACCATTTGGGCTTTTCTTGGCAGAGATACTGGAGTGGTTTCCCATTTCCTTCTCTGGCTCATTTTATAGATGAGGAAACTGAGGCAAACTGGGTTAAATGACTTGTTCAGGGTCACACAGCTAGTAAGTATCTGAGGCCAGATTTGAACTCAGGAAGAGAAGCCTTCCTTATTCCAGGCCTGGCACTCTATCACACTGTGCCACCTAGCCTCCCTACTAGTGAAGGAAAGATTCCTCTTATCTCCCTTTGTCTATCCTGCCTCAGTTAACTCTCTAAAACAATAAGTTACAGAGAAGGTACTTATCTGCATTGGTAGAGAGAGTTTCCTCATATGGGAATCCCATATATCAGTGAAATCACAGGCCCATTCTATCCCTATTTCATATGTATTTTACAGTCTTTATTTTGGAAAGATACCTTGTTAGTATGTGTCATTACTTTTAAATGAGTTAATTTAGAGAGGTTCAGACAGCTTTGTTGTTCCAAAGATTCCCCCCCAAAAAAAAAAACCCTCCACAAAACTGGAGGTATTTCATTGCCATAATCTTTTATTTTAAAGCAAAAAGAATTCATCATGTTACATATGATCAGAGGGCTATTTAATAATATTGCAAAGTATATCCAGATCCCTAGCTGGACTCAAGTAGTACTTTAAAGCTTGCAATCTTTATTTGTTACTAAATTATGAGCTCCTTGAAGACTATTTTTTGCCTTTCTTTGTATTCCCAGAGCCTAGCTCAGAGTCTGACAAATAGTAGGTGCTTAATAAATGCTTGTTACTTGTTGACAACGCTATGTATGTCAATCCTATGAGGTCAACGGTAGGGGTATTATTATTTACATTTTGCAGATGAAAAAACAAAAGCTTTGTGAGATAAAGTGACAACCAAAGTCACAAAAGCAGAAACAGCAGGTATCATAAGGTTCCTCAGAACCCCAGCCTGCTTCTGCCTGGACACTTGCAAAAGACTACTTAGAAACCATTATTTTGGTATGGACCAATGTGAAAATTGCTGGACTGCTTTTGAACCCTTGTAACAACCCTTTTAATGCCATGATACAAGATTAGAAAGAACCCAGATAATGCCAAGTAATTAAAAAATATTAGAACAATAATCTGCAGCCCAAAGTGTTTAACAGGAACATTATTGACTTGATGGTGATTCATAAAAGCTCAGCCACTCTCAGGTTCTCAGACCTGGGAGATGATCAATGGTCTTAATGTAGGTAGATTCAACGACTCAGCATATACTCAACCTACAAGATCATTTTCTAAGTCCTTTTGCTGCTGCTTTGGCAATAGGACAGATGTTCTGTAATGAAGATTTACGCTGATGGAGGATGGAAGCAAGGGAGGAAGTGGGATATAGTGCTATCTTCTCCAAACTTTCCCTACAAGGCCTCCCACTTATCCTACCTATTTCCTCTCACCCCAATACCAACCCTCACCAACTTCTGTTCAACCTGCTGCATTATTGACCCTGCAAAAGTATTTCCTTTCATTATTTACCTAAAATGAAAATAAATTATGTCTCTATCTTTTCTAGTAGTTTTGAAGACCTTAGAACTTGCCCTTTTTTCCCCAGACAGCCTTTTGCCTGTTACAAACCCCTGAATCACTTTAGAGAGCCTCCCTGGCAAGGATAGGGATGTGGGCTAGGGAATAATACACAAGCAGGAATACAGAGAGAGAGAACAAGACATGGGGGATGTGCTCATCTGAAGTTTGCTGCTAATGGATGCTCAATTTACCATGACACCCAAGAAGCCAGGTTTTTTTTTTACCTGATTATAATAACACTGAAAATCTCTGCAGAAGCCCAGAGAACAGATAAAATTTCACTTAAAGTAAGGTGTGGAATGAGGGACTGAGGGTGGACAATAAACTAGGTAGTGAGTGGTAGCCTGCTTTTTGGGTAGCTAGGTGGCATAATGGATAGAGTACTGGCCATTGAGTCAGGAGGACCTGAGTTCAAATATGACCTGAGACACTTACTAGCTCTGTGACCTTGGGCAAGTCACTTAACCCTGTTTTCCTCAGTTTCCTCATCTGTAAAATGACCTGGAGAACAAAATGGTAAATCACGCCTGTATCTCTGCCAGGAAAACCCCAAATGGGGTCATAAAGAGTTAGACAACAACTGATTGACTAAAGAACTACAAGCCCACATTCTAGCAAATGACAAGTTCCCCAATCATTAATGCTTGGGAGTCAGTCCTTCTACATATTACCATTGACTCCGCAATGCTAACATTGAGGTGGACTAAAATTTCCCACTCACATGTAAAGTCAACAGAAGAACTTCCCTCCATGGTCTTCTGACATCTCAAACTGTACCAGTTTGTCAGATCAGAGAAATGGACTGAGAGGCTCTTATTTAGATCAGTGGCTATACATTAAAGTCAAGTTCACATTCTTATTTTGGTTGCCTTCCATTATATAATGGCAGCAGTCGTGGTGTGTTGCATAGAGCACTGAATTTGTAGTCAGAAGACTAAGATTTGAATCATAACTTTACTATTTACTAGGAAAATCATTTCCATTCTGAGGCTCTGTTTCCTCCTGAGGAAAATGGAGATAATAATACCCATAGTACCTATTTCACATGTAGGACAGTAATGAGCCATCAAATAACTTACTATATTTAAAATTCTTTGTAAATCTGAAAGTGCTATATAATGTTTAGCTACTGTTATCTATGGTCAGTGTTGTCTCTCTGTCTCTATGTACAGAAACACAAATATATGTGTATGATATAAATATATGTATGTGTGAACATATTCCTACATGTGTATATGTATAAACACCCTATATATGTATGCATACATACATACACAGGATTATACACTCCTACATACATATAAATACCTACACACAAATACACATGCATATATATACATGCATACACATATACACACATACATGCATGCATGCATGTATAACTATAGGCAAACAGGTATAGATATATAGAGTTAGGCATTTGGCCTTGTTGGTAAAGGGATTACTCAAATGTCATTTTGGTGCTGATCTCTTCCTGGACAATTTCTTTTTCCTTTCTCTGATTTGTATAAGGTGAATGACCCCAGGCAGGAAGCTTTGTGTTCTCTCTAAAACTAACATTTATTAAAATCCAGCTGGATGCTGGTCCTCATTTTAACTCGATGTAAGTAAATGCCCAAGGGGGCTGATGTTCTGGCTTCTTTCTGCCTTTACAGAATCCATAGCATCTTCGAAAAAGAGCACTCTGGAGAGCTCCAGGAATTCTCAATACAAGCATACTTTACCTGGTTTGTTGTAAAAATGCCTGAATACTTTTGGACAGGGAACTGTGACGGTCTCTCCAATGTCAGCAGGGTGCCAGCACGTAATATTATCCCAAACTCCACTACATGCTGTAAAAAATTTAAAAAAAACAGAGAGAGATAAAGGAAGTGAGGAAATGGCTGTTCACTCTTGCAAATAAAAAAGTTTAAGAGAATGGAGGCTTAAAGAAAGAGTCAAGATGTATATGTTAACATAATTTATAAAAATATTGTATAAATAGAAAATTTATAATTACACAGTTATCTCGCAAATTCTCTTTCTCTAATGGAAGCGAGCAACAGTGATTTTTCTGGAAATTATATCACCTTGTTGTTTTGATTCCATTAAAATAATTTTTGAGCATTTAAAAAATAAGAATCAGGAGTGGAAACACATAGGAACAAGTTAACTTATGTTTGCTAATGCCTTCATTTTAGTTGTTGAGTTAGATTCTCCTGATGCACAAAAGTGTTCCCCAGTAAGGTAACCGGGGCTGTGAACCAGAGGCTCTAGTCCTGGTATATTAAGAATGACAGTGATCTGATTGACTCTTGCCTATGGCTAGCTCCTTCTTCTCTTACTTAAATGTCCACTGCCCATTTAAGAGAGCTGTGGTATGGTCCTTGTTCTGAGCCCACTGGCACTGCCAGGTCAGGTCATAGGATTAAGGATGCCATGCCATCGAGAGCCCAGCACTGCCATTCTATTACCTATCTTGACCCCCTTCTTGGGAGGAGGTCTGAGATATTGCCTCCCTACATGTAACCCAGGGAACTGACTCATTTCTTCAAGGGCATAGACATCCTCCTGCCCCTTGACATTCAGTGTGGTTATCAGTGTATCTATGACTAGCTATTATGGGTCAGTCGACCTTGCCAGAGCTGATGACTCAGCTTAATTAAAGGCTTGGACTGCTGAATCTGTCAGTGCCCTATCCTATACTCTCTAACAACAAGAACAACAACAACAAACAGTGCTGAGAGCATTTATGGAGCCCTCTAAGGTTTACAAAATGGCTTTAGAAATCTGATCTCATTTTATCCACATGGCAATTCTGGGACATAGATGCTATTATTATCCCTATTTTACAGATGAGAAAACTTTGGCAGAGAGAAATCTACATGATTTTCCCAGAATCAGAAGCCTGTATGTGTCTGAAGTCAAATTTGAATTTGGGTCTTCTTGACTCTAGTCCAGTACTCTAACCACTGCACAACCCTGCTCTCTTTCTGTGTTGGGGGCTACAGATCATCTTCTTTGCCATTATTTTCTTGAAGGGCTGATCTTTAGGTTGACTGGGTACTGCAGTTTTTGGCTACCTACAGTGGGGTGGAGGTCTCCTGCCACCTCAGAAGCTCCTTCTGATCATTCAATTGAACTATCATATCAACAGATAAGTTCTTCCAGTCAAATGGGTTCTTGAAGGTTAGAGATTGTTTTGGTTTTGTTTCTGCCTCTCTAGTACCCACTGCAATGCCTTGTACATACTAGGTTATTAATATATGTTTATTGAATTGATATTCAATAAGAAACTTATTTGTTTTGGCCAGCCAACGTACCTCAAAGTAAACAACATTTCTGATTATTTATTATGGAGTTCATTATCATCATCCACTAATGGCATCATTATCATCACCTTCATCCAATTAGGGCACTGGATTTAGAATCAAAGGACGTGGGTTCAAATCCTAACTATCTTTTACTACCTAAGTGACCTAGGTTAAGTCACTTTACTTCTCTGGGCTTCAGTTTTCTCATCAGCCCAGTGAATAGATTATCTCTTAGAAAACTTTCATCTCTAGATATATGATTCTACTGATTTCATACATATGCATACAGCATGTTAGCCAAGATTAAAACAAATTAAATAGATGCAGTAGCTGACCTTCAGGAGTCTATAATCTAAAATAGATTGAATCCACTTGGAAAAAGCCACAATAGAACCATACAGAAAAATGAAGAATTATAAAGGACAATGTTACCCAGTAACATATAATGAATGTATAATATGTGGTTTGAGTACGGAGCACCTTGCTTTCAAAAATACAGATGTGCCACTGAAAAGTTGGCTATAAACCAATTTTTGCAAATCAAAATTTGTTTTCTTATTGAGTTTCATTACATAAATGGAAACCTGTTATCATGAAATCCAAGCTATAATGGGAAGCATATTGGGCTTAGAAGCAGAGGACCTGGCTTTGAATTCCAACTGTGTTACGTAGGTAACCTCAGTGTAATCTTGAGGAAGTTACCTCATCTCTCTGGTTGTCAGTTTCCTTATCCTTAAAATGAGGGTTCCCTTCCAGATCCCTTCCCAGTCCTATGATTCTAAAAAGAAGGCTCAGCTTAGGATAGCTCAACATTCTTATATAAATACTATAAGCTTTTTAAAAAGCATCTATTTAAAGGAAAATGGTAATTTTCTTCACTATTACTCTGAGACTCAAAAGAGGTATATCGCATCAGAAATTGAATTCCCTTGTGGTTAGTACAATATGAGCAGAAAATATGCCCTATCAGTAGTGGCATCTGTATTCTAAGCACAAATTCCCTATTAGTGTCCTAAGCTTATAAGAAGGAAGTGCAGAATTAACAACGGAAATCCTGACTTAAGGGAGTCAGGACAACTGGTTAAATCAACCCATATACAGGGTGATAGGAAAGGTCTGGCTGTCCGAGGGCACCTAGAGAAGAGTTTTGAGGGGGGAGTGGGAGGCTAAACACTTTTCCTCTTTTATTAAGAATGATGAAGCAATCTGGCATTGCCTAAGAAATACAGTGGTTGATTAATGGAATACCCTAGGCACACAATATAGAGAAATAAATGAGCATAGTAACTGGGGTTTGATAAATTCCAGCTATTGGAGCAAGAACTCTCTTTTTGACAAGAACTGCTGGGAAAACTGGAAAGTAGTCTGACTGAAACTAGGCACAGACCAACATCTCACACTGTATACCAAGATAAGCTCAAAATGGGTACATGACTTAGACATAAAAGGTGATGTCATAAGCAAATTACTAGATTACAGAGAAAAAACTGTCAGATCTGTAGCTGGAAGAGTTCATGTCCAAACAAAAGATGGAGAAGCTCACAGGAAGCAAAACTGATCATTTTAATTACACAAAATTATAAATGGTTTGCAGTAACAAAACCAGTTCGGCTAAAATTAGAAGGAATACAGGAAGCTGGGGAAAATTTTATAGCAAATTTCTCTGATAAAGGCCTCATTTCTCAAATATTTAGGAAACTGAGCCAAATTTATAAAAATAAGAGCCATTCCTCAAAGGCTATGAACAAGCTGTTGTCAGAAGAAGAAATCAAAGGTATCAGTAGTCACATGAAAAAATGCTCTAAGTCACTATCGATTACAGACATGCAAGTGAAAACAGCTGAGGTACTACCTCATACCTATCATATTGGCTAACAAGAGCAATGCAAAGAAATAAAGAAAACAATTGAATGGAAAAGGCAAGATCTCTGCACAAAAAAAAATCAAATATAGCAAAGGAACATTTCATGTGAAAATAGGCATGATAACAGACAAACACGGTAGGGACTTAATAGAAGTAGAAGAGCTTAAGAAGGGGTGACAAGAACACACAAAAGAACTATACAAGAAAGATCTTAACATCACTGATAACCATCATGGTGTGGTTACTGATCTAGAGCCAGATGTCTTGGAGAATGAAATCAATAGGGCCTTAGGAAGCATTGCTAAAAATAAGGCTAATGGAGGTGATGGAATTCCAGCTGAACTATTTCAAATCCTAAAAGATGATTCTGTTAAAGTGCTGCACTCAATATGCCAGCAAATTTGGAAAACTCAGTTTATGTCATAAGCCCAAAGAAGGACAATGCCAAAGCTTATTCAAATTACTGAACAATTGTGCTAATCTCACATGCCAGCAAGATTATGCTTAAGATTCTGCAGCCTAGGCTCAGCAATACGTGAACTGAGAATTACCAGAAGAGAAGGATGGTTTTCAAAGACACAGAGCAGCTAGACACCAAATTGCCAGCATTCACTAAGTTATGGAGAAAAAGAGAGTTCCAGAAAAAAAAAGTTCTGCTTCATTGACTACACTAAGGCCTTTAATTGTGTGTATCACAACAAAATGTGGCAAGTCCTTAAAGAGGCGGGAGTACTAGATCATCTTCCTTGTCTCCTGAGGAACCTACATGCAGGCCAAGAAGCACAACCATGGAACCAAACATGGAAAAATTGATTGGTTTCAGATTGGGAAAGGAATAGGACAAGGCTGTATATTGTCACCTTATTTGTTTAACTTACATGCAGAGTACAATATGAAAAATACCAGGCTGGATGAATTAAAAGCCAGAATTAAGGCTGCTAGGAGAAATATCAACAATCTTAGAGATACAGAAAAGACAATTCTGATGGTAGAAAGTGAAGAAGAATTAAGAAGCCTCTTGATGAGAGTGAACGAGAAAAATGTAAAAGCTGACTTGAAGCTTAACATAAAAATAAAAAAATAAAAACTACAATTGTGGCAACTGGTTCCATCACTCCCTGGCAAATAGAGGAAGAAGAAATGGAAGCAGTGTTAGATTTTATATTCTTGGGCTCAAAGATCATAGCAGACAGTGACTACAGTCATGAAATTAAAAGCCACTTGCTCCTTGGAAGGAAAGCTATGGCAAATCTGGACAGCATAATAAAAAGCAAAGACATCACCTTGACAACAAAGGTGTAAATAGTTAAAGCTATTATCTTTCCAGTAGCAATGTAGGAATGTGAGAGATGGACCATAAGGAAAGCTGAGTGCCAGAGTTGGTGCTTTCAAAATGTGGTCCTGGAGAAGAATTTCGAGGGTGCCCTGGAGAGCAAGGAGATCAAATCAATCAACAATTAAAGAAATTAACAAAGAATATTCATTGGCAGGTCAAATACTAAAGCTGAAACTTAAATACTTTGGCCACATAATAAGTAGGCAGGACTCATTGGAAAAAATCCCAATGTTGGGAAAGATTGAAGGCCAAAGGTAAAGGGGACACCCAGGGAATGAGATGGATAGATCTTATCACAGAAGCAACAAACATGAGCTTGGACAGACTTTGGGAGATAGT